ATCACATATACTATTCCGGTGATAACACAACAAATAATAGAAATGGCGTTGCAATTATTATTATGAAAGAATGGGATGATGCGGTTGTACGATTTCTTCCAATCTCGGATAGAGTAACTTTGTTGAAAATAGATGCAAGACCAACCTTAATATCTTACAAATTTATGCTCCGACATCAGACAGCTCAGAGCAGGAGATTGGACATTTCTATGAAGAATTAAGGAATGCATCGAAAAATATGAAAAAAGAAGAAGTCGGTATAATCGTGGGAGCATTTATTGCCAAAATTAGAAAGGGTGCAGTGGAATGCATAATAGGAGAGTATGGATTGGGTCTACGGAATGAAAGAGGCGAACGACTGATACAATTTTGTCAAGAAACAGATAATGTAATCATGAACAGCAAATTCAAACTACCAGCTAGAAGACTATAGACCTGGAGATTTCCCGCCGATAGCCCGCAAGAAATAATTAGAAATGCTTATTATTTCTAAGCTAATTAAAAATGCTTGAAACCGTTTCTAGGATAGTAAGGGGGAACTAAAATGGCATGAAAGGGAACTCATTCCCATTAACCCCCTAGGCCCCACTCACCACAACCAAAACAGTTTAAATTGCAAACCCCTACTTGCGATACATCATTAAAAAGACTATAAAAATGCTATCCAATGGTATAAATAATAATTATACAGGGAGAAGCAATAATTGTGAAACTTAAATGGAAAATTTAATGAGGTTTTTGTTGAACTACAAATTTGTTAAAAATGTGCAAAGTATTTGCAAAGAAAACGAAGAAAATGGTTAATAATTTCACAAGGTATAGAAGGTACAAAAAACTCTCCTCCTATTTGTGATGGATTAAGAAACGTGACCTTAAAACCACCAACAAAGGTAGAGACCGAGTTCTTCTTCTTCTTCTCGTGCCACTCCTAGCGGAGATTGGAAATTATCATGGCCACTGCGACTTTGTTAGCAGCGCGCCTGAAAAGTTCAATCGAACTACACCCGAATCATTCACGTAGATTACGAAGCCACGATATTTTTCTTCTAGAGACCGAGTTAGCATTATTTAATAGTATAGTCATATTTCAAATTTTAGAGTAACATTCAAACTACGTCACTATATACACTGATGGATCAAAAAACACCGATAGTACAGGTTGCGCTTTCGTAATACCTAAACGTATACAGAAAAAATATAAGTTAAACAAAAACACATCTATTTTACAGCTGAGGCAATAGCAATTCTAAAAGCATTAGAATATGTTTATCAGGAAGAGGATCAGAATGCTATAATCTTTTCCGATTCACTTTCCGTTCTTAAAATTTTAAAATCAAACTCAAACACAACCAATGACATTATTTTTAGCATCCAAGCAATACTTAAACATTTACAAGATTAAAATAAATATATAAAATTCTTCTGGGTCAAAGCACACGCAGGAATAACAAACAATGAAACTGCAGATCAAATTGCTAAAGAAAGTATAGTAATGGGGAACAAATAAATTACGAATTAACCACAGATGAACAAATAATCATAGCAAAATAGAGAATGAAATGATAAATCCAACACGTCACCAGACTTGAAACCAAATTAAGGAAAAAACCTTGGTACAATGAGTACGATTACAGTCGAAAAAGTATAACTACTATCAGCAGAATGAAGTTTAGTCACGCATGTTATCCAGCACATTTATTTAAAATAAAAGTACTTGAGAGTGATCTTTGTGAAGCATGTAATAAAATCGGTGACCTGGACCACATCTTTTTTGATTGTTCAAAATATAGAGATCAATCTATTGAGCTTTTCAGAAAACTTTTAAAATTAAACATTGAAAGCCCATATAATATACTGCATCTTCTTGCTTTAGACAGAAAAGAAATTTGCGATTGTTTGCTGTCTTTCGTCAGAACAACGATACAAATATAACCACCTTTGTTGATACCTGATGTCTTTCCTTAATGTATGTATACCTATCCGTCCGAGGCCTACCTTTTATCGTTTATAAAAATGCCCTGATCGGCCCCTGGGCGAGAAGTATTGTATCTGTTTTTAAAAATTTGTGTCTGACTGTGTGGGTATGTACCCTAAGGTCGATAAAAAAAAATCATAATGCTTGCCAGACTGCAACTATTTTTACCGAAAACAGAACTTTTCAGGCAGTAAAGAGCTGTCGAGACCGAAATAATCGATACAAGAAAGGAATTTACTTTTCTATTTTTGACCTACCGCCACGTACTATCCTACACCGGAAATAACACGTTGGTCAATTAAGTTAAATCATGATGCAATAAAATGTTAACAACTATTAGTTGTACTTACCCTGTATTTATTTAATATCGATTAACATTCCAGCCAAATCAACGTAATCCATTCTATTACATTTATTAAAAATGTTTCGAATCATTCTTAAAATTACTGTACCAGTATGCAGAATTATTTTAACAATGTAACAATAAAATCAATATTTTTGGATGAATTAGTTTTAGATTAACATATAAAGTTATGAATGGTATTATTAGAGACAGACTAATAATATATACAGAACAAAGCATAGGGGATTACCACTACGGTTTTAGAAAAGGAATATCCACGATAGACGCTATCTATTTATCTTTATAAGGATTTTTACAGCCGTCGCCGCTTTCTTTCTTTTAGCCAACATCTCCAGTACTTTCTGTTCTGCCATTCTCCATCTCTAAGGTTTCGTCTTTCCATGGCCTCATCCACTTCATCCCTCCATGATCTTCGGGGTCTACCTCTTTTCCTCCTTCTTATTGGGCTCCAATCCGAAATCTTTGCTATCCACCTTGTATGATCTGTTCTTCTCACATGTCCATACCAAATTAAACATTTTTATTCAATGTAGCTACTAAGTATGTCTTAGTAGCTACATTGTTCTACTTATAGTTCTACTGCCATTATTCGTTTTATCTCCTCATTTCTGATGCGATCTGTTTTTGTCACTCTGCTGCTTCTTCTCATGAACTCCATTTCAGTTGCCATGATTTTGGACCTGTTTCATTTATTTATTACCCAATTCTCTGCTCCATGGGTCATTATACTGCGTACCAAGGTGTTATAAATTATCTTCTTTGTATTTCTGGTAATCTGTCTATCCCACAGTACCCCGTTCATTTGTTTAATACATGTTCTTGTTTGGCTAACCTGCTGGTTATCTCTTGCTCGGTGGTTAATATTCATATGATCCATCACTTTTTCCAGAGTAATATACCTTGTGAACTTCTATTTGTATTTCTCCAGAATCTGTCCATCTCATTTCTGCTATTCCCATGATTTCAATATGCATTCTCTTCAGTAGGTATAAAGTTTTGACATTTTATGTGCAAATCTTGATATTCTTTCTGCACTTCAATTTATTATCTTTTGGTAAACTCAAAACTGTCCTACCCGGAGACCCGATCGAACGACTTACTCCGGAATTTATTTTAGTATTGAGCAATGCCATGATTGATTGACTAGGGCGTATTGCTGTGGATTTTTAATGGAGTGTTTGCCCTATAATATACTGTAAACTGTAAAAAGGGGACTTAGGCCATTTAAAAAAAAAACATGTACTTAATGGATCTTACTTTATCAATACAAAGATACTGGGAGTTTTATCTATTTTGCCAACTTCTTATTTGGTTCATAACTTTTTAACCGCACTGTATAATTTATGTATCACAATATAACAATATTTTCATAATACTTCAACTAAATTCAACCGGTAGATGTGATAATTATTCTCCTCAACCTGGCACCAGTAAGCAGGTTGATACAGATATCAATGCTAGTTCTTTTACAGACATACTTCAACTGCTGTCTCCGAAACCCAGCCAACATCAGAAAAAGCACAAAACCAATTATAAAAAGAAAATATCGAAAATTTTGACAAGCACCCCAAATAAAGATGATCTTAACAATAAGAAATTAAGGAAATTAAAAGCAAGATAACAAAACAAAAACCATGCAAAGAATTTCAGAAGCAGGTTCAAATTATGAAGCTTCTGCCAAAGAAAAAACAGCCAGTAAAGGATAGCAGTGACATTAGTGAAGATTCAAATTCGGTATGTATCTATTTCAATAAACGTTATAGTCGGAGCAAGAAGGAAGAGGGTTGGATAAAGTGTCAGCAATGCAATCAATGGACATATGATGCATGTTCTAGTGTCTAAGAAGATTAAGATTATGTTTCTATGCGAAAACTATGTAGGACGAAGGGTAGAGCTGTTAGAAGTTAATGGAAGGAGAGGTAGAGGAAAATTTATGAGAAGATGGAATGACTGTGTGGCAGAGGACGTAAGAGAGAAAGGTGTCGGTGAAAAAGACCCGATGGACAGAAATGAGTGGCAACTAACGGTAAGGTAGTAAGGAAAAGCGACCCCTGAAAAGGGAAACACTGAGGAAAAAGAACAACTGGGTTATACAGTACCTGACGCCATTCTTACTTAAAGTTTTAGTTTTTTTTAAACGAGTTACTTTATTTACATTTTTTGTTAAGCATTATAATAAAAAATGTTATTCAAACCTATCGTTAGGGTGGTGTTTTCACTACTTATTAAGTTTGGCAGATGCAAGTAAAAAAGTGTAAGGTGGTCCTTTTTGCGCCGGTCTCCCCTACCTATAAGTATTTACAAAATATTTGTTGTTACACCTTAGTTACTGGAACACTCATTCTAATAATTATGACTAATTGTTTGATTTTATGACCTATTATTGTGTTACACATATGACTAATTTGTTTTGGTTTCGTTATATATGATTGAAATATTCAAATAAACCCAGATTTACCAATGTATTTCTAATTCTTAATGCATGTAAAATAAATTAATATTATTTGTGGATTTTTTAATTTCAGGCCATTGTTAGGAATTAGTTACTATACCAGCCAAATTGCTATCAGATTCCTGTATCTGATCTACCTATTAAATTCCTATATCTGATTTATTAATTATTGATTAATTAGTTGGAAATATGTGTAAGTAAAAATCAAATAACGCAAAATATTTGACATTTATTGAAAACAACAGTTACAAATAAATAACATAAGTCTCTCAAGTTAATTCAAATAACAACAGAAAAAAGATATGATTTTAACTTATAAATTTTATTCATCATCATGATCCATTCTATAAGGCCCTGGACAATTCTCCTCCAGGTCTTTTATGTCTACACCTGTAATCACACAGTATATACAATATAAGTGTTTACTTCTGAGATAATCTATTAACATAAATAGATTCTCTTCTGTGATGTTAGTTTCAAAGTCCTCATCATCACTGCTGCTATCAGTGTCATCATACACTTCATTTTTTTCCATTTTTCTACGTTTTTTGATTGTCTCTTTGGTCCAAAAGAAGTCCTCAACAGGATCTTTTATTTTCTAAAAAAAAAGTTTTCAAATGAGAACATACTTTTTATTATTCATTAACTCCTATTCCTCAAACCACCCAGACAATACAGCCCACGCTGGATCAGCTATTCTGATAAAAAATACTATTAAACATGCAGAACTACCAAAGTATGCTGAAAATTGCTTGCAAGCTACAGTTATCAAAGTCAGTATGAGGTCTTAAGAACTAATAATCGCAGCAGTCTACTGTCCACCCCGATACAACTTATAGAAAGAAGACTTCAAAAACTTCTTCAAAACTCTACACACGAAACTCTAAAACACAACAACTAAAGGCAGAGAACTAGTAAGCCTAATGCATGAAAACAACTACCACCCTTTGTCAACAGGCTCTCCTACATACTGGCCCAGGATCCAAACAAAACACCTCATCAGCTGGATCTATTTATCACTCAGGGCATCTCTTCTGGTTACTGGAGGTCATGCCGAACTATGATATCTCATCTGACCACTCCCCAATTATAGCAACCATCAGCAGCTTTATAGTCTACAAAATGGCCACACCAAGGCTACACACTGGGAAAACGAACTGGGAAAAATACCAAGCCAATCAGCCTACTACCAGTTGTATACAAAATACTTGAAAAGTTACTGTTTAAAATTAACTCAGACCCCAATATGGAGGAATGGATACCCAACCACCAATTTGGCTTTTGAAAAAAAAATACTCGACAATACAGCAGGTTCATAGAATAGTACACACAATAAATTCTGCAATGAAAAGCACACACTACTGCACAGCTGCTTTTCTAGATGTTAGTCAAGCCTTTGATAAGGTTTTTCACACAGGCCTGATTTTCAAAATCAAGAAATATTTACCTGTCACGTACCTGAAACTGTTAAAAATCCTATCTGAGTGGGAAAGAATTACGAACAAGAGTGAATGAAAGTAATTCCAATAATTTTCCTATAAAATCTGGTGTTCCACAGGGCACTAATATTATATGTGCTGTCATCCTTACAGCTGACTAAAATCCAATTGTAGCATCTAGCATTCTACAGGTACAACTGAATGAAATTGAGACATGGTCTTACAAGTGCAGAATTAAAACAAATGAAACAAAATCAGTCCAAGTGACTTTTACATTGAGAAGAGACCCTTGTCCCCCAGTTTCACTTAACAATATCCAACTTCCCAAATCCTCTAGCACTAAATACCTAGGAATACATCTTGACTCAAAACTCACCTGGAAAGAACATATTCTTAAGAAGCGGAAACAAATTTACCTAAGAATGAAAGATCTAAACTGGTTAGTAGGCAGGAAATTGAAACTGAGCCTTGAAAACAAAATCCTTGTATACAAAACTGTAAGCTGAAGCCATAATTCAAAGATGCTGAATCAAAAATACTAAGAACACCTTACTCCAACCTCTGCTTGAATACTAAGCCAATAGGAGATTCAAAAAGGAACTGGACAGCTGACCTGAGAAGCCCCTTGAATATTAGCTTATAGAATAAAAAAAAAGATCTGAAAAGAAAGAACTGCACTAGAAAGGGAATGTTCATGAATTGAAAAGGAAAAGCATTGGACAGAAGTAAACCAAAGGAAGTGGTTAAGAAATGTATGGAAAGATTATAGAAATATTAAATGTACTTTATATATAATTAAAAACAAATGTAAATAGTAATTGTGTAGTGGTAAATATAAACTCTTCAGCCCTAGGGCTTCATGTCCTATTGAGCTTTATAAAGAACTAAGAAATATTACAAAAATTGCTTATTTATTTTATGATTTACATACACTTACCAATCTAAAATCCAATTCTTCACAAATTCTTTGTGCCTTTAATAAATCTTTTCTAACTTTAACTAAATTGATTCTTTCCTTGAAAGCTAATCTATATCGATTCTCATAGTTTTTTAAGTGTTTTATTTTTTGCTGCTGCTTTTGACTAAATACTTCTTTCAAATGAGATTCACGTCCAATTCCTGATGTGCCTTGTTTAATCACAACATCAATTGGTTCCTTGATGCCACTTTTGGACTTTCCAAGACTTTCTCCTTGTTTAAAACCCATCTTTTCCAATAGTTTAAATCCCTTATTTTCATTAGAAATTGCTGTGTTTAAACCTCGCTCCCTACTTTCTCTCTCCAGCTCATGTACTGATTTTTGGCGCTTAGTTGGGGGTTCTAATTTTTTCTTAAATAGATCCATTTTGCGTTTTTCTCTGCTAAACAAGAGACTTGGGCGTACATCATCCTTACTAAAATTTGAGAATATTAAAAAAAATAAATAATTTTGAACAGTTTAAAAAGAAACAACTAAATTTTACAAGGAAAAGCATGCATGAATCAGAACAGAGATTTTGAAGTCTTTGCTGCAATAATCTGTTGGGTTATTCCAATATCAACCACCTTCATGTCTTGTATGGCCTTATATAACTTACAGGAACCTTCTACTTTCAGGATTCAGGAACTATTTTTGTTGGGAATAAGCAACAATTTTACTTTAAAATGAAGTTTATTTGACATTTCCATTTCCACTTCAAAAATTGTTTTTGAAATGGGATTTGAAAATGTCAAATAAACTTACTTGTATAGTAAAATTGTGGCTTATTCCCAACAAAAATAGTAAATCACAAAAACATTATCCTTGAAACAAGAATCTAATAAAGTATTATAAGAAAATGAAGTGTTCATGAACAATTTTAGGAGAAAACAAAATACCAGAAATCTACTACAAGAAACTAGTGCAGCTAACATGAAGCATAAACACATACAAGCATGATAATGTATGGCAATAACTACCAAAAGAAAACCTAGTGCACTTATAAAAACAAATACAAACTTCACAATCAAAGAACACACTCTTGGGTTAACAAGACCTAATATGTTTACAAAAAAAACAGTAATATACATGAAAAGCTAAGTAAAATGATAAAATAAAAAAAGAAGAAAGAATAAAACCAAAAGTAACAACAGATTACAATCATTATACATTAGACCAATAAAATAAATAACAGAACAAAGCTTTTACTAAGAAATGGACCTTATAGAATTGCAAACAATGTAGGAAACAAAACTGATTGCAAGGAAAAGTTTATGAAAAGATTGAAAATATCGAAACACAACGTTAAAAGAATTATAGAAAATAAGTAACCACCCACATAAAAAAGTAGAACTTAAAAAAATACTCCACAATATTATTTTTATCAATCTTTAAAACCAAAAAAATACCTTTAGATACATGTAAAAATATTATACATAGTTAACAATACTTTACCTGTCCACCAGAACATTAAACGACATATAATCATCATCAGAATCTGACATCTCTCTTGATGATAATTTTTTGAAGACACCAATTTACGTTTCAACCATCAATGCAACTAGCAACTTATAATACAATTTAATCATAAATGAAAACTTCAATGAACTGTCAAAAGAAAACAAAATAAACTTTTCCCAACTGTTAGAAATACCATTAGTTAAAATTTGTGTTTAGTCAAAATATTGTAGGACAAAATAAATAACAATTTTAGTTCCGTTACACAATATAAAATACACAATTTCTTCTTTAAACGCGTTTAAATACAAGTTATAATCATAACCAAGTTTAATTAATCATTATTGGTTAATATTCTGGTTAATAGCTATATGATTATCATTTATGATTTGTATGTTGTACAATCTAAATCTAGGATGATTAAAAGTTAGATTAAAAATATTTCCCAGTTAATCTTCTGCCCAGGTTCAAAATTGAGCATGTTACGATAAGAATAAGAAGGTATAATTAAATGAAAATTATTAAGTAAGAACGTTTTAATTTGTTTGTAATCCAATATCCGCAGTAGGTTTGGAACTGTCCTTGAAAGTAATTTTTGCTTCTCTAGCCATTTAACTATTAAAACATGTTACATTAATTTCAACAGTAGCATAAATAGCAATATCCTATTCTAAAATAATTCCTCTCGTGCAGCTCCTTTTTCTTTTATAAAGGAGAAAATAAATTAGTAAATAACACTAGTATCTAAAGCATAACCCACTATTCTGTGCAGACTTGCGCAGTTTTGTATCCACATCCACATCTGAATGTGACAATGGGGTTTATGTGTATTGTTGGTTGCATAAGAATAACTCTAAAATTAATAGTAAATAATAGCAAATCTAAATTAAAGGTTTTTTAAAATTAGTTTTAAAAAGTATTTTAAAAAATACTTTTTGCGCATTTTTTCCAATCAAAATTTGTTATTTTATATACAGATGTTATATATCAATTACTATGATACCAACTTTCTTATTTTAAAATGAAACATTGGTTAGGTGTATTATAAAATTTTTGGATTATGCACAAAATTCCCAGAACTTTGATATATTGCATGTTATATTTTTAATTAACTTATTTTAGGATACAGGGTGGTTAATGAATATATCACTCTCTGCGTGTCTCCTTATGACTTTAAAATGTTCTATACCTAATTTCATTAAAGAAGAGTGAGTTCATTTTCGTATCTCACCTTAATATTTAAAAGTAAATATAGAAGGGATTGTGCCTTTAATACATTGTGTAATAAAAACAGTTAAATAAAAGCATGGCAATCCAATATATTGATAAAGTTCTTTGTATTTTGTATTGGATCCAATAACTAAATAATATACCTGGTGTTCCATCTAAAATAATAAAGTTGGCATCAGTATTTACATAACATCACACTCTGTGTAACACAACACATTTTTATTGAAAACATATGCGCAACAAAAAATATTAAAAAAACCAGAGTTTTCGAGGAACTATTCATCATTTAATTAAATAACCAAGATATAAATTTGAAGTTTTTATGGTCTATGAATATGACAGTGAAATGTCAAATTTTGCAAAGCTGTTCTGTGTTTTATTTTGATGGCTGGCAGCTAAAGGTATATGGCCATCAAAGAAAATAAATGTCTAAATTTGTTTACGATTAATGTCATAATACATATAAAAATGTACTGTGATTAATGTGTGTATTGAAAGGATTTATAAATAAAGATATTTTACAAAACAAGAACAAAGAAATGAAATCATAATCAAATCTGTATACTAATATATAGTGCCATAAAAAAATGAATATATCAGAGTTATCCAAAAGTACCATTAACTTGGTCTCAGACATTCCAAATGACTATAGAAATAAAATATTAAAATGTAATACATTTTTAGCTTTGTAATATCCTTTACTAATTTTTTTTATTGTAGTGGTATTCTCCTCTTATCTGTTAACTGAACAGGAACGAACGAAAACTGTTCTTAATTTATCAAGAGATATAAATATTCCTAAAGAAGACCTAGAAGAAATTTTGGGCGTATATTTGATGTTTGTTACACTTTTTTTGCGATTTGAAGATAATGAATTTGTCGAACGGTTAACAGAAATTGGATTTTCTCCAGAATTTATAGAAAATTTGCCATTAATAGGAAACCGAGATAGCATTATAGAGAATTTAAGAAGAAGCTATACTGAAAATTTTGGAAAGCTATCTTTGTTTCGGTGGAGAATTGATATAAGTTTAAGTAACAGGTAAGTTACTACTTTATATTCTATTAAAACATGTAGAATATACAGGTTTAACCTAGGCGAGATTTGTCTCCAGTCTTCAAATATACTATGAAATACTTATGTATAATAACCAAGAGACATGTACAAACAATTTGTAATGTAATTTAATGAAAGGGGTATTAACAAAATCCTTAGTACAGTATTTGAAGTGATTTTGAAATAAAGTATCAATATGTGCAGTATGAATGATAAAGTGGAATTTACAACAACACCTAAATCTTTAACTTGGGTTACAGACTCTAAAGAACAACCTTTTATAGTATAGATTTGATTGGTGGGGTTTCTGTTTCAACTGGCACTTTGTAACATTGAGTTCCATACCATTTATTTCACACCATTCAGTGGCTCAAATGGTCCCAATCATTGTAGGTCATTGTAATCATAAATATTCATGATCTTATTAAGTTTTAAATCATCCACAAACATTAGAGACTGTGAATGAACCAAATAGGGCACAATATCATTCACATAGATATTAGAGAGGATCTAGGTGCAAACCTTGAGGTACACCAGGTGATATCTCTATCTCATTTGATTGGAAGCCTTGAATATGCACTATTTGTATTCTTTTTGTAAGATAAGAAGATAATCACTTTAAAAATTGACAGTGAATACCCAGACTATTTAACTTATTGATTAAAATGTTATGGTTTACACATTCAAACACCTTTGTAAAGTCTGTAATGATGTAATTTTTAGTTTCAAGTTCTTAGTTATGAAAAAACCTATTAAATATACTTTTAATATTGCTTATATGTGTTTTAGTGTAATAATTATATAACCATATTTTTATTTTTTAGTGATTTAGTTAAAGTCCCCAATGTTGTTGTATTATCAATAACGTTAACAAACAGAAGAAAGTATACAATAGAGCTGGATCCAACAACATTCCATAAATTGAGATACAGTGTCTCATTCCTTTTAAATCAATTAAATTCTCTGAGATCAAACAAATAATTTTATATAAGATTTTTAAAACTAACAAAAAAGCCAAATATTGTATAACATGTAATTTATTAAAAAATATACCTATATGTACAGTTCAAACTGGATAATATAAATAAATAAAAATCACCAGGGATATTTTATTAAAATAAACTATATATAAAATAATGTAACAGTTTATTCTCTAGCGGTTGCTAGGGGCATACAGGAACAGAATGATGAACACCCATGTATGTAGCAGAACCTAAAAATATTTTTATAAATAAAATATCTTTATACAGAAGTGATGCAACAACGTATTTAATTGTCATTGTAAGTAATTATTTCTGTGTGGATAATTTGTGTCTTATAGAAATTTACAGTTTGGTTGTGATTATGTGTTTCAAAATATAAGCTTGGGTTAGGCACTTGCTAACGAAATGAAAGCTAGACCACTAAGAAGCTATAAACTTACCATATAACTAAAAACACAAACTCGAGCTACTGGATATCGTCTAAGAAATACTCCAGTTCTGATACTAACAGCATCAAGAGTTGAATATGCATGTTTGACTCTGCGAGTAACCCCGGCATCAAATGGAGATACACGCATAAATTTTGGAACTGGTATTGAATCTAAAAGGAATTCAATTTTATACTCAATTTATATGGAGAAAACTAGATATAAGTTGAGTGAATTATTATTCTCAAAAAGGTTTACATTAACGAGGGTTAGATTAATTTTCTATAAATTAATAAAGTATTCAATGCTTAAATTTTACCATCTGATTCTGCTATGTTGATAATTTTGGCTTGAGATCGATTTACTTGGACAAAATTTTTCTTGTATTCATTCTAAAACAAGAAATTCAGTTTAAAACACCACCATTCATTAAGAAAAAACAAACATGGATAAATAAAAATGGTTTGTAGAATATACTTAGATTTTAAAATTGTTTATTACTTCTAGTTTTTCAATTTGTAGCCTTAACGCATTTCTTTCAGTGGTAACAGTCTCTAAATTGTTTTGCTTAACCATTAGGGTTTGTGTTAAAGATTTGATTCGTGATTCAATGTCCTCGTTTGCTGCTACATTACTTTTATTCTTCAGAGCCTCTTGAAACATCAAAATTTCATTTGTTTTTGATTTTACTAATTGTTGAAGTTGATTTATCTCTTGTAGAGCTTTAAATAACTCCTAAAACCAAAGAAATATGATATATTCACTAATTATAGTCATACACATAATATAAAAACACTTACATTGTTTTTCTGTAAACAATCTTCTTCTGCTATTGCCCTGATCTTCTTTTCATTTGCTAAAGTTTGTTCCAGACTTTGATTAGTAGATTGTAGACCACTTTGAATAACTTGATGTTGCATCTGGAGTGACTGTATCTCTTTTAACAAGTGAGCATTCTTTTGTGTCAATTCATCTGATTTGTTTTGATGAAATTCTAACTCTTTTCTAAAAAACAGTATTTTAGTTAATGGAGAACATGTGTTTCCTTATTAACAACTAGTTCCAATAGGCCAATTAAGTTAGATTTTTACTCTGATTGTTTATTTAAACATATTTCCACTAAAAAATTGATGAATTCCTAGAAAATAGTCTTGTTGTAGTATCTTATACTACACATTTCAACTGTCAAACTGAAAAATTCTTATTTTTTAATAACTTAATTGGTCAACAAGGGTAACTACTGAAAATTATAACAAGTTTTTAAATATGTACTTACTTGAGCTCTTCATTATAAGTAATAAATATGTTATCATTGTGTTCACTTGACTGGTTTTCTTGTTTTAGAGAAATAAGTTTTTCCTTCTCCTGCAAAATTCTCTGAGCCCTAGCAATATATTGATCCTTTTCAATTTGAGCTTCAGTAACTTGTTCACTGGCTCTTTCGATCTGGAACTGAAGGTTGAAATTTTCGTTTCTCAAGTCTGAGTAAAGATGTTGCATGTTTAGGAGTTGTTTATTGAGATCCTGGTTATCTAATTCTAACTTGGCGATTTTTTCATCTAGAATATGGGTTTCTTCAGCTAAAATAAAACTGAAATATTTTTTCAGTAAAATATTTACAAAATTAGCACAAAAATGATTGATTTAATGTGTTCAAACTGAGTTTTGTGTGATATTTTTAAAAATCAAACCTAAACTTTACAAGATTTCACTAAACTAACAAGAAAACACCTTTGTGACTGAAACTGAAAGGACTCAATGACAGAAACTAAAACCTATAGAGGGTAATTTTATGGTTTCAACATTTCATATGGTACAACATGCCAATCTAGCAAGTTACTATGGTTAGTCAACCAGTACAGCTGTCTAGAAGTAAGATGATTAATAACTTGATTGTGTTTGGCCTTGGCTTCAGAATAATGGTAGGAATATTTTGATTTACCATGTTATTGTAAGTGTTCAATATTATTATATACTGAGCATTTCCATGTTTAAATTTTGTTTTACATCCTGTTAATGTCATCTACACTAGTTTTTTCTCAACGCTATTGTAATGTTTTTGTTTTTTTATATTGAGGGTTCAACTTCAAAACCTCATAACTCAAAAATTGGTAATTTTTAAATTTATAAGGTTTTAGGTTGAAAATACTGTTCTGAATGTTCTGACAAAACACCAAATTCATGAAAACTATGTTTTAGCAAAGTAATAATTGAATAAATACTAAGACAAAAATATGTACTAAGCATCAAAGTTTTCTGCTGTCTCAAGAGTTGTAAATTTTGACTTATATGGTTTCAACATTTAACAGTTTATATATAATAAGATGACTTTGTAAAGCAGTTTTTATTTTTACCATTCAGTTCAAATTTTCAATAAGACATGGTAACATTGTATTGGGAAAGCTATGAGACATGACAATGCTTTAAAACAACTGAATGTTACACATAATTACATTTGGTGTATCAGATATAACAATATCATACAAGTATCTTATATAATTAGAATGCATTGAACAGTCAATACCATATTACCTAATTATTGCCATTATTTTATATTAAAATCAAAAAATTTCTTACACTATCCATACAAAACCAGAAATGCTAAAACAAAAGATTTTTGTACCATTTAGGAGATATGATGCTAACCAAAGGTTCACTACAATAGTGGCAACAAAAATTTTCAATACTTTACCAATTAAAAACCAGTTATAAAAAATATATTGATCATTGCAAAGTTTTTATATATGAAAATACACTTAAAATTCAGTTTGAGTTAACAATATTCTTACAAAATTACCTATTATGAACTGAGCTGGATGACGACATTTTATCACTTTTTGCAGAACTTCTTATTGATTCGTCAAGAACACTATCTTCCAATACACTTGCTAAAAATGATTATTTAATATACATCTTTATTTCTAACATACTAAACATACCATTTGAGCTTGTTGGTATATCTGGTTCGGTTAACATATGACGTACTTCCATCACAGGGCTTCGCTCTTTTATTGGTGTAATATTAAAACTGGAGTTTCGATTTGCTACACTTAAAGTTCCATTGCCAGACTTAACTTTTCCATTTTCCCATTCTTTATTGCTTATTGTTGTATCGCTAATAGGATCCTGTACTGGTGTTCTGAAATATACGCTTTATTCTCAAATATATATTAATTACATGTAACTTACTCATTAGTTTCAATCAATTTTGAAGTACTATCATTTAAAACAGTTGCAGCATTCTGATCAATTTTATTTAAAAGATCTTCAGCTCGACCTGCCAGATTTTGAAACCAAGCCATAGTTGAATATTCTGTTTTAAAGTATTAAATTTAATAATTTCAATGCATTTTAAAATAAATCAGTTTTGATGATATTGTTTAGTTGACGTCTTCACTGTCAGCACAGCAGTTGTCAGTGAAGCAGTCATGTGTATGACATATCTTCTTTTTTTTTATTACTTATTTGTCAATTTTTTATTAAAATAATTGATCTTTGCTACTACTTTAAAACAACAATTAATATATATGTTTATGTAATAATTAAAATTGAAAGTACTACAATAATTAGGATCCAACAGAAATTTCATTAGAAATAACCTTAAGAACTTCGAGTGACGTATGACGTCTTGTCTTATATTGTTTCATTTTAACCATCTTAAAAAAAAGAAGAGGTAGTTAACCGCATATAAATTGATTTTGTTTAATCAACGATTGATGATAACATTTTTATTTTCTAATAATGAATGAATATGGAACAAGGCTTTTGCCACCTTTAAAAGAAACTAGTATACGTGCAGCATGTAGAAAGTGTGGCTATGCAGGTCATTTAACATATCAGTGTAGAAATTTTATTAAAGTCGACCCCGATAAAGAAATTGTCTTAGACGTCAGTAGCACAAGTAGTGACTCAGATCAAGACTATTTAACGCCTCTAACAGAGCTTCGTGAAAAGGAATTAAAAGAAAAGTTAAAGAAATCCAAGAAGAAAAAACATAGGTCTGAGAAGAAATCTAAAAAAATCAAAAGAGATTCAAGTGACGATACTGAAGAAAGTGATAGTGAGACAAATAATGCGAAAAAGAAGAAACATAAAAAATCAAAGAAAAGTCACAAAAAGAATAGAGACACAGATTCGGAAAGACAACGTAATGGAGATAAGAAACGTTTAAAATCGAAAAAAAGAAAATCAGATTCAGAATCAAGTAGCGAATAAAAATTTGTAAGGACTTTATTATTGTATATAATTTTTTTAATTGTAATGTATTTGACAATTTTAACACCAGGTTTTTAAATCCCTATTTTACTTTTTAAATGATCTTATTTATTAACTGATTATTTGATATATTATAATTCTTATACTAAGTAAATATTTTTCGTACAATTTATTCAAAAGTATCTTTACTGGTATTATTTTATTAGTTTTAAATTCATCTCATTAAACTATACAGCTGATGATTCTATGCAGAATTATTTATTTCAATTGCAAAAATATTTGAAGTATTTACGATACTCTAAGTTTCAGGTTACATATAAGATATTTTACATAAAAAAATGCAAATTTATTTTTTATAAGTCAGTTTTGAATAAATGTAACTTACAGTAATTTAATACTATTCTTGTTTTCTGAAATAGCCATGTAAACATCTTAAACTCTACTATTAGTTTTGTTACTGTAATGAAATTTGTGATTTATCTTCACAACTAATTATAATAAACTTTTATAAGTATTTGTTGGCATTTTACTTTATTACACAGGTATATGGTAGCGAAAAAAAAAGGTGCATGGCATTTGGGAAGTGCTCACAGAAGGGACTACTTCTTATCAAGCATTTTTTTTTTCAGAAAAAGAAATAAAATCACAAATTTAACATTTTCAAAATTTGTTAAATATGATACCTATAGAATTGATGAGTGAGATTGATTCGGGTCTATGCAAATAATTCCAATCTGAACAATGTAACTCGAAAAATAAGATATTCACTGATTTAAAAAAAATGTATATACTGAGAATAGAAATGTGAAACTATCATTCTACTAAAGAGTTAGGAAAACCCTCATGGCTTTACTCATTCAGATACCAAATCCAAATAAAACATTTATAACCTTCATTTCAGACTTTTTCTGTCAAATTGAATGGGTCTTGGAATTTATGATTCTAGAATTTTTAATTTTGACATCTAGGAAGAGGTTTTTAATTTCAGAGCAATGAAATTCTCATATTGTTTACAATTGAGTTTTTGGAAGTCGTTAGTGTCTCTAAACACCTGTTTGATGCTCTAATAAATTATTGTCTCTGTTTAACAATACCAAAAACAAGTTTTTATAACAATGAAACACATATAAAACTCTTTAATTCTTTATTAATTTGGAAATTATGCTAGTTACACTGACAAAAATCAACATTCTTCATACATAAGTTCAATATCTGTCATCCTTTCTTAATTGTCTACAATTTGACTTGAAGTTTGTTGGCTGTCAACCTAAGGAACTTTTGGAAGTTCAACATTATAAATACCAAGTAGGTTGTACTCGGTAAGTAAGTCCCCATAGAATAAAATCTAAAAATGACATTCCACATATGACTCTGCACAATAAAAGAATAATGTTTACATACTTTTCATTTAACAGATATAAATTATTGAACTTTTAACTTTATTGACATTAGATACATTGCCTTAGTCTTCAGATTTTATTGCCTCTGCACATTCGAATACCTATAAGCATCTCTATGACTTCTCATTCTTGCTTAAAAAATCGGGAATCAAAGGATCATCTTCGTCTTTGGTATGATTATTTGATTTTTGGCTCCCTTCCTCTTCCCATTGCTGCAACATTTCTATAACTGTTGTGTGGCCAAACGCAACTGCTTCTTCTAAGGGTGTTCTACCCCACCTGTCTCTAACATCGTACTGAACATTGCAATACTTAAGAAGGAATTCGACACAGTGCAGATGTCCTTCAGCTGCTGCCAAGTGAAGAGCTGTTCGACCATCATAGTCAGACAGTGTCATGTCCATGCCCGAAAGTTTGTGCCTATAATTAAAAAATTTAAAGAAATTATATCAGTAAATCTATAGTCAAAGCGACAGGCTACAACATAAAGAGCTGTCAGCATTAGACTTTCTCTACAGAAGTTTAGGGTAAGTGTGTATAAGAGCACACATGTGTATAAAAGTATGCACCTATTATTTTTTATATATTGCCATCTATTAAAGTAATTTTTACTTGAAGGGATTCTAAATACATTCCCACTGCACGGTCAGAAACAAAAATCTGCATTATCGTCCTAGTTTTGTCAATATGGTCGCTGCAAATAGTTGCCGTTCAGATTTATAATTTTGTTTGTTCATAATTTAGTCAATTGTGAGGTAAGCAAAACATTAGTTTTGTATAAACTAATTTTAGACTGCATTTATATGAAATAGTGTTTGCTTTTTAAAAAAATGGGCAGTAAATCTATTTGTTTTCGTAATAAACGCTTTAAAATCACAAAATGCATATATGTATAAGAGTACGCAGTTACCGATGTATAAGATTACGAAATACGAACTCTTATACAAAGTTGGGTACTCTTAAACAATTTTAATAGATAGAGATAGAAAGTTAATTTTTACTGAAGAAAACTTACGAGAAATACAGCAAAAATTATAAGTAGGATGTAGTAAGAGAAGTGTAGCGAATGATATGGGAATAAATGAGGTCACATTAAGAAAAAGATTAAAGTGTGGAAATGTACCAAAATCATTGGGACGATTTCAAGCGATATTCCAAGCCACCTAGAAGCCGAATTAGCACAACAGATATAAGAATTAGATCAGATGTTTTATGGAATTACAAAAAAAATTGCAAATAGCAGCGTATAAATTTGCTGAATCTAATAATCTTTCTCACCGTTTTAATAGAAATCATGGTTTAAAACTATTCTAAAACATCTTTTTAAATGGTTGATTAACAATGTAAGGAGTGATAAATAGTTAGTTCATTTTCGTAAAATTAAAAAAATGTCGCACTTTTAATATTAAGTTCGTATTCTTATACGCATTTACTCTAATACTCAATTATATATTGTCCTTAGAACCATAAAACATAAAAACTAAAAATTATTATTTATATTACCTTCGCAAACTAGGCAGATCTCCAGACGCAGCCGAAAAAAGTAAGTTCACTATATTTAGACCTTTCGTTTCAAATTTGTGCTTTCTTGGGTCTGATTTATCGGAAGCATGTCTTAAATTGTCATATCTGTGGAAATTGAATTTCTTAACTAGCTCCTACAAATAAAACACAAATTTTATTCAAATAATAATAATAATACACAATAAGTGCAGTAAACGTAGCAGAAAGAACAAAATTACTGCGGTATTTACGAGGAAGAGGAATGTATTGGTTTTTTAATTGGTTGAAGAATAAGTAAGGACTCTTGGTTATGAGAACATTCATTCTGTGATTCAAGAATATCAAGAAATATTTGGAAAGATTTTTAAAAACGCCACCCATTGTGACGTCAGATTTAGGTAGTCCATTCTTTTGCCGTCAAACGTTTTAGTTCAAGGTCCGAACACGTGAGGCGCTAGAAATTCTCTCTCCCTACTTTTGATTATAGGAGATACTATGCTAGATAGTGATATCTAACGTTATAATTATTTTAAACAAATTGTATACATCCTATAAGTTCTACAATAACTGTACCAATCTCCACGTTTTATTCTACAGCTTTGTGGTACAGTTTTTGATTTTTATCTTGTGATTATACATAGGTACTCAATGATTAATTTTTGGTGTAAAGTGGATATTTCCCATGGCAAGTATATATGTATTTATAAGGAAAATGGGAGTTTAGTATTTTTATGTTAAACTGATTACAGAATTCTATCAATTGTCCTCTATGAAGTCGTTGGTTATTACTTCTCCGAATTTTCCTACATCTTCATTTTCTTATTATCTCTATTATAATATCTTGATGAACTTCTACCTTATTAAGCTCCTGGAAAGATCTTAGTGGAACTGATCCGTAATTTGTTTAGATGAATCATTTGACGCAATTATTCGATTACAATAGTCTCATTTGCAAACTGAGTGCAAGTCGTATGCCTTAAGGATTTAATAATTCACATTTGTAAAAACACTTGGGGAAAAGTATTGATCAAATAGTGCATAAGTTGACAACAATTGAAAAGGTTAATATGAATAAACATTATTTACCTCACAAAATTGTACACCCCTGCAACTGTTTCCTAGTGCGTCTAAAGGTGGGGAATACAAACACATGCCCATTACATTTGGAACAACTACCAACATAGCCCCACTTACTCCAGATTTAGCTGGCAATCCAACCTACAACAGATTACATATTAAATATAATTACAGCAATATTACCAATTCCCACATAATCCACATTTTATTTGCTGAATCAATTATTAATAGATATACCTAATGATGGAGCTATTTTACCTTGAAAGCAAACTGTCCAGAATAGTCATACATCCCACAACTATGCATCAACGACAGAACGTCTCTCACACTTTCAGGTTTCAGAACTTTTTCTTCTGATAAAGGACAAATACCGCCATTGGCTAAGGTAGCGGCCATTACTGCTACTAAATCACAATTGACTTCTAGGGAACAACACTAAAACATGTATTAATGTATTATTACTCCCATTTTATTAAACTAATTAAAGATTTAGTTGATTTCACTGATATTACCTGAAAATAGAAATCCATGCATTCTCTAAATTTGCTACTTTCTGGGAAACATTTATGTTCCCTCATGTAGAAACCTAGGGCATAGTTACGATCAGCACATTCACGTTCTGATAAGAATACTGCATTATTAAAACCTAAATCTTCCCTTCCGCCCAACCTCTAGAAAAAAAGAGAATTCTGTTAAAAATATTATAAAATAGTAATATATTATTAGGCAAAAACAATCAGCTAACTTAATTATTCTTATTTTGGTCACTGTTTGACGACAATATAATTTTTCAACTATCAACTCTCTAATGGCGAAGACATCTTTACATTGATGTAGACATTTCTGTAACAAAACACTCAGTGCAAAAGTGCTTCTCTAGTTTTCAATCTATCTCTAAATCCAAACTGCCTTTCATCTCGATCTTCTTCACACTTGTGAACTACAGTAGAATTCTTTATTCTACGATGGATGATATGTATGAATAACTTTAAAGTGACTCATAAGACTGATAAGTCTATACTTGCTACAGTGTTTTGGACGTTGTTTTTTTCTGGTAAAGTTATGAATTCAGGCCTAAAACATTACAACCAATAAGCAAGTAAACTTACCTCAAAGAAGTTCATAGTAAAGTCAAACTTCTCTGCTGAGCTCATTTCTGGAGAATACATTGTCTTCAACAACGAGCAAATAATAATAGCTCCAGCATTAATCATAGGATTATGAGGTTTCTCTGGAAAGAAAAACGTTATAAAAACTAACCACTCAAACTTTGATCAAACTTACTATTGTGGTCAAGGATGAGTTCGTTAAAGTTTCTACCACTAGGTTCTTGACCAACATACTGATGAACAACGTCCGCTCCAAGTAAGTCTAAAGCTATACCGTAAGACAAAGGTTTGCTACATGACTGGATTGTGAACGGTATGTTAACATCTCCTATTGAATATCGTTGTCCATCTATAGTTACAATACTGACTCCCCAATAATTCGGGTTCATGCGTTTTAGCTGTGGAATGTACGATGCCACCTATAATATAAAAATACTTTATTTTAGAAAATTTTTGAGTCCAAAATAACGGTACAGTGAAAATATTATATATATTTAGTTCAGTGTTTTACCTCCCTGCCGCTATATACATGAAAATGTATATCACACTTTCATCAACAATCATTTTGGCATCAGAAATTTAGCATCGAGGTTGAACTAACCTCAAATGATAGGATTTAACCAATAAAATACAACGACATAGAAATCAAATAGAGCAGCATGTCAAAAAGGCTTTAGTTACGTATCTTCGCTTCTATTGGTTCAATTGTGACGTACGGAGCCTTAAGATTAAGATCAGCGCTTCATGACGCACATAATGCCACATTTGAATACTACATTAGTACCTTGTCCAAAGAAGATCATTCGATATTGAAAGCAACAAAAACACTTACAGAGACCTACAATCAGGAAAAAGCGTCAACACTTGCAGAATACTTGGCTGGTATTTTTAAACAACAACAACCAGGTAATAATAACGATGGAAACAATAAGATACTTCATAGATAGTGCGTGTCCAATGACGCCCCCAATAAAACCGTTCAGTCTATCAGAAGTGAAACAAGAAATAGAAAAATGCACTAACCACAAAGCACCTGGATTTGACCTAATAACAGGATTCTTTTTCTAAATGTGCCTACCTTCTAGATGGGTATGTAAGCGACCACATTGACCCATTTTATTCTATTCACAGCAGCTCGAAATAGATCAGTTGACGTTAGACCAATCCATTTCCCAAGATTGGCCAGCCAGAATATACGTCTATGTCCAGGCCCTCTCTTACCCTCAATCTTGCCCTGTAGAATCAACTGTAGAAATCGGTATTTATCATTACACATGATGTGGCTGAAGTAAGCCCAATGAATACGGCTCGAGCCCAAAACATGAATAAATATTCGAAGAAGCACAAAGACTACCTTGATGGACTAAGAAGTCATCCAAATGATAAACCAAAAGGGAAGCATGTGTGAGACTGTGATAAAAGAAAAGTTTAGTAAATATTTTTATTATTTTATGTTAATTTGTGTAAGTTTGTTGAAAAGTCACCGTACGCCAATACTTTTAGTGTATGGACAAGCATTAAGAAATACATTTCAATAGTCAAAACCCAATGTGGAGCTCAACAAATTTTAATATCAAAGGTAGACTAATCCAAGACTTGTTAACTGAAGAAAATTTAAACATTTTCAATGATAGAAGACCAACCAGATTTAATTGGTACAACATCGACAATCGATCTATCGATTTGTGCCCAACTCTTTCAATGGCTCTTAATTGGGATTTCCTACCCTTTTTATATGGGAGCGACCATTACCCAATAAAAATTTCTGTATTTTCTGATGACACTATCTCTGAATATCAACCAGTCCGAAAATGGAACCTGAAAAACGGTAATTGGGACAAGCACACTGATGCCATAGAAACAGACATAGAATAAAAAAAATCTAGTTTTGAAAACACTGATATTAATGAAACTCTCAACATTTTTACGAATATTATTACATACGCGGCAGAAACACATATAGGAAAAACTACAATATTAAGGAAACACAGACCTCTACCATGGTGGAATACAGAATGTCAAAATGCAATCAAGCAATATAAAGCATATTTTAATGAAATAAATGAATGAAAATGAATCCGAGAATAAAAATGAGAATGAAAAACATAGTAACACAACTAACATAACTGAATACAAAGAACAGAGAGCACATGCTAGATATATAACAAAAAATGCTCAAAAAATCAACTGGAGAAAATTTGTCTCAAATATAAACAGTACAACACCTTTATCTACCTACAGTCTGGTATAATATTCGAAAATATCAGGAAAAAACAAATTTTACCAAGTGCCTTTTATTACTCATAATACTGATGTAATAATAAAACCTAACGAAACAGCTGATGCTTTTGCAACCTACTTCGAAAAAAACTCCAGCAATAGCAATTATTCCGAAGACACAAAATCATCACAGAAAAACAACAGCTCGATTGTGAAGATAAAGATAATAGTTCCTTCAATATTCCTTTAACCTTAGATGAACTTAACTTTGCCCTTAATACTACAAAAAACTCTGCTCCTGGACCCGATAATATACCTTTAGTATTCTTGAAAAAACTGCCAGACATTGCTAAGTGTACTCTTCTACAAATGTTCAATCGAATATGGTTAAATAATGTCTTTCCAACTTCCTGGAGTGATTCAATATTTATATCTATTCTCAAGCCTAACAATGCATGAACTAAAATTTACTCAAAATAGTTAATAAAAGATTGCTATGGATATTAGAAGAAAATCACCTTCTGGTTAACGAGCAAAGTGGATTTCGACAAAATCAAACTACTACTGATAACTTCATTAATTTAGAATCTGATATTCTTGAATCTTTCGCGAACAAACAGGAAACTATTGCAGTATTCATTGACATTACAAAAGCATTTGATACAGCATGGCGTTACGATATTATCATATCATTACCCACTTGAAATATTAGAGGTAATATCATTAATTTCATTTCAAATTTTCTTAAACAACGCCATTTTCTAGGAAGAGTTAACCACCTGCACATCCTGGCGAGCTATACGCCATCTATCAAGCTCTCGTTCATATTAACTCCAGTAATATATCCAATGCTCTTATAATTACCGATTTCCTTAGTTCCCCCAATATCATTAACCAACTGTACACGAAGCATCCAATTGCTCTCCTAATCAAAAAAGAACTAGCTACCATTCAAAACAACAACTATACTGTACAATTCCTATGGGTTCCTTCACACATTGGCCTTCAAGGAAATGAAGAAACGGATCGTACAGCCCAACAAGCCAAGAACAGTGAAACTGCGAGTGAAGTTAAAGATGTATTTCTTAACGATTTAAAATCATTTATTAAAGTGAACGTCGAAAATCTGTGGCAAAACCAGTGGGACAGTTCAACTTCAAAACTCCGCGAAGTGAAAACGTTTGTAAAACCGTGGAAATCTCAAATTCCCAACAGAACTCACCAAGTCATTGTTATTCGTCTTCGTCTAGGACATACTCGACTTACCCACGGACACATAATTGGTCGGACTAATCCCACTTTATGTGAAAACTGTAATATCCCACCAAGTGTTGAGTATGTACTTGTAGAGTGTCCAAGATACCAGTTGTAGAGACAGAACAACCACAGCATCGGATCAACAAGTGAAATCTTAGGAGAAAATCGTAAAATTGAACATTTGGTAAAATGCTTAAAGATATCAATGTATTTAACAAAATATAACATTTGTAAATCAATTATCTTATGTATATGTATATATGTCGCATATCCCCAGAGGTTGATGCGACTATTTTGTAATATAAAAAGAAAGAAAAAAGAAGAAATACATTATACTCAATGCTATCCTCAATGCTCAAACACTTTCGCAACAACCTCGTAAGATAATCGAGCCTTTCGACATGTATGTCATTGTACACCAAAAAGTGAAGCCAAAAAGGAAAAAAATACAACAATACAGAAAACTGCTCACCACTTGACAACACTGGCAAATAAGAGTATTTAAAAACATCTTATGTAAACCAAAGTAAACACAAATGACAAATTCATACTAAATAATTAACAGCAAATACCAGTGACGTAATATTACGTCACTGCGGTTTAAAAAAAGTATAGCACAGTTCACATTGTTCTCATAAAGATAAGGAGTAATAGTATGAGAATCTATTTGTGGAAAGAAATAATTTATCTATTAGTAGTGACATTGACATTAACACTTCAGTTTAGGTTGTTTAATTTTCATTAAAAAATAATTAACTGCTACTTACCGTTCCGTTTGTGTTTTCTTTACACTTCCAATAAATTAGCTCTATATCTTTGCTAAATTCTTGAAATTCGGGAATAATAAATTGATGTCTAAAGGCGTATGACAGTAGCCCTACATTTGGTTGTACTATGCTAAAAGTAAAATAGGTGTTTAAGGTAATGTTAGTCATACTCAAGATCTGTCAAAAAATTAACTTAACTAACCATAAAAAATAACAAATTGACTCCACCGAATTGTGTTTGATATACGAAATAAATTTGATAGAATTGTTTATACCACAACACTATAGGCCAGTGGTCCAAATGGTCATTAATAAATTGGATCAAATGTGACAAGTAAAACAATTAAAATTAACTAAATTTAGATAAATCGTCAATATCACAAAATAAAAGATAATAAAATATACAATCCATTTTTTTGCCGAATATAATATTGATTTCTTTATTCTTTAATCAACATCAGAGATTGGACTCACACAACAGGAAATGACTTAATCCATCAAGCCCAGAACAGAGAGAAATTTGCCATATTGATCGCCAACCTCAATAGAGAAGGCACTTAGGAAGAGGATTCTTTAATACTAACTCAGTGGACGGGATCGGTAAATACACATCAAAGGTTGAATTTTGGTGGAGTAGTCATGATTAGGTCTTACTGAAAAACATGTACGTGTTTACGAATTAAGCAAACAGTTTCTAAAATATATAAAGAGAGAAAAGTTCAAATCCCGTGATTTTTGAAGTAGCTTCTGCAATGTGTTATTCTACTGAGCCCAAAAAGATACCGTATTGCTCTTTCTTGTAATTTAAAAATAATATCAGATTGGGCAGCTGTACTAGAACCCCAAAAAGATCGAAGATGAGACTCGAACAAAGAAAAATATGTTATTTTGAAAGATGCTAAATTGATTTCCTTCGAAACAGATCTTATTGCATAGCGGCTAAGGCTATTTTCTTACTTAACAAATCGATATGAAGGGACCATTTAAGATGATGTCTATAAAAATATCAAGAAATTTTACAGAATCAACGATACTGATCTGGCAGTTATTAAGAAGAGCTCCTTTATAGGATAATGCTACTTTCTTATCCACGTTAAAAGATCAGAAGTTATAGTTGCATGAAGAGTTGTAATATAGAGTTCCTCCAGTAAGACTGGTATCATCAGCAAAAAGAAAAATGTTTCCATCGATTTTTAAGTTATTGATGTAATTTATAAAGATAAGCAAAAGTAGAGGATCCATACTGAACATTGTGGTACTCCACGTGCAATGCTTTTGTGACTAGAGTCGTATCATTTGTTGTAACTAGTCGTTTATTATTCCTCAAGTAATATTGGAAACAATTAAAAAAAATGCCTCGAATTCCGTAGAAATTTAGTTTTTTTATCAAAATGTCATGATTTACACAATCAAAAGCTTTGGCATAGTCACAAAAAACAGTGGCAATGTAAAGATTATTGTTTAGTGCTTTATATACCTCATGTAGTACAGAAAACATAGCATCACTGGTACATGTATTAGATAAAAAGCCGAACGGACTTTGTGATAAAATGTTGTTTTCAACGAGAAAGAACATAAGTCGGGCTTTTATAAGTTTCTTAATAATTTTGGATAGGACTGGTAGTAAGGCAATAGGTCTATAGTTGCAGACATACCTTATAAAGAGGAAGAACATGAAAGAAGAAAGAAAAAGGATTAAAAAAACAACGAGGATAGATGCCTTTAAACTAAGAACAAATGAGGAGCAATTCCGAGAGGTAATCCTTCGTTTAATTTCTTCACATAATCAAGATCAAATTGACGAGATTAATAAAAACATAAATAAAAACCTTCTCGCAGCCGAACTACAAGTTGCAAAGAAAACAAGGACTAAAGAAGACAAAATAAGCAATGAAACTAAACAGATAATCACGGAAAGAAGATAACTACTAGCGCAAAACAAACGCTATGCTCAAGAATACAGAGAACTTAATAAAACAATTAGAAAGGAACTAAAACGCGACATACAAAAATTGAACGAGAACTTAATAGAGCAAGTCATTGAAAATAACAGAGGCTTAAAATGTCTAAGACCCACACTGGGAGTTCAAAAAATCATCAAAATTAAAGACGCCAACAAATATAAAATAACAAATATTGTCGGAGACTTCTACACAGAGACTTGTACAGCTAGCAAAGCAAGCCTAATAAAACAACAAAGGAGAACGTCAAAAGAAAAATAAAAAACGTGCGATCAGAAGTACTACCAAATATCAAGGGATTCCAAATAGAAAAAGCTTTAAAAGAGCTAAACAATAATAAAGCTCCAGGACACGACGGTATAATTGCCGAGTTCTTGAAAACAAGCAAAACATTAACAATCCCTGTACTAACAGGGCTATTTAATAGATGTCTCCGATCCCTAAAGACTGGAACGAAAGCCTAGTAATACTCTTACACAATAAAGGGGACAAATGTGATCTACAGAATTATAGACCTATATCGTTGCTCAGTCAAGTATACAAACTATTTATGAGAATTATTAACAACCAGTTGACCTACAAAATGGACAACTACCAACCGGTTAAACAGACTGGCTTACGCAAAGGATATACAGTAGAGTCTCGATTATCCGCCCTTCGGTTATCCGCCGTTCCGTTTTATCCGCCGCACCATTTATGCAAAAAAAAATTAATTTTGTATAATTTTGAAAATAATCTGCTACACGCCAATGACTGTACAGGTAGGAATTTGGTGTCAGGCTGCCAGACAAAATAGATTATTTACCTCCCCGTCCCCAGACCAGTCATAAATACTCTGTTTTTATAACTTTATTACTTTATTTGCTATTTAGTACACTTTCGTCGAATCAACTATTGTTCCTTTCAGTGAGTCATGCACAGTAAGGTTATTTGTTCGCTTTACCGTTTTGAGGCCCGTACGCTACGAGTAAGAGTTTATTCTTTGCTATCAATCGATCGTGGTTATGGAGAAACAAAAAAGGAAAAAGATTGTCTTATCAATGCAAGACAAACTAAATGCATTAAAAAGGCTTGATAAAGGGGAAACACTGCAGAGAGTGGCTGATGACTATGGTGTTGGTCGTCGTACTGTTGGAGATTGGAGGAAAAACCGATCAGAATTGGAAAAATGGTGTTCTTCACGAGCCACTGAAATCGACTTGAAAGACAGAAAATCCATGAAAAAAAGTGATTACGAAAAAACTAGCGAGGCTTTGTACATTTGGTTTGTCCACTTTAGGGATAAGGGAGTGCCTATATCCGGGCCTATCTTAAAAGAAAAGGCATTGCACTTCCAAAAGCAATTTCAAGAGGGTGAGGCAGATTTTACAGCAAGTGTCGGCTGGCTAGACCGTTGGAAGAAGCGGTACGGGATTCGTCAGCTGTCTATTTGTGGTGAGAAATTATCATCAAACTTTCAAGGAATGGCTACATTTAAGAAATCGTTTCAAGCATTTATTAAGGCGGAAAATTTAACAAATGATCAAATATTTAATTGCGATGAAACAGGCCTTAATTATAAAATGTTACCCAATAAGAGTCTTGCAGCTAAAAGTGAATCAGCAGCTCCTGGCTATAAACGCAGCAAAGAGCGAGTAACCATTTTAGCATGTAGCAATTCCACGTCAAACCATAAGATGGAACTCACAATGATTGGAAAGGCAAAGAACCCCAGAGCATTTAAGGGAATTTCAAGACATGCTCTACCAGTGAAATATTGCAATCAGAAAAGTGCGTGGATGAGCAGTGACATTTTTAAAGATTGGTTCTTCTCGGATTTTGTACCATCAACAGAGAAGTTTCTAAAAGACAATAATTTACCAAGAAAAGCAGTTTTACTGTTAGATAATGCGCCGACTCATCCTGATGAAAGTGAACTAAAAGATGGGGACATAAAGGCCATGTTCCTCCCTCCGAATGTCACAGCTATCTGTCAACCTATGGACCAGGGTGTTTTGGAGACGCTGAAAAGAAACTATCGGAGAATCCTTCTATCGACCATGATAGAAGAAATGAACGATGGCCGAGACTTAATCCCTATATTGAAAGCCATTAACTTGAAAGATGTGTCCTACTGGATCTCAAGTGCATGGGATAAGGTTGGGGCACAAACAATTACTAAGTCCTGGGATAAGCTGTTGTGTGAGGATGAAGGAACTGCTGACAACACTTTGGATGAACTTCAGGAAAATATATTGCCCTTAGTGAAACGTATCCCTGGATGTGAGGATGCGTCTTTGGGTGATGTTGGAGAGTGGTTTTCAAGGGATGAACAATATGAAATAACCGATGAAGAAATTGTTACGGTTGTTAATAGTGAAGGTGTTGAAGACATCGAAGAATTAGAGACTGTTGAGCCACAAAAAGTTTCACACAAAGAAGGAGTAAAATTTTTGAAGCTGCGATAAAATACGTCGAGCAACAAGAGGAAGCCAGAGCTGTCGATATTATGATGCTACAGAGATGGCGAGACTTGGCAGCAACACAACGAGATACATCAGCAAGACAGATGAAAATCACTAGTTTTTTTCGTTCACCCTAAACCATTATGTCTACAATATCCAATGTAAGTCAATGTTGAACTGATTCTAGTTTTATTTTAATCTTGTTAATATTATTATATACATAAAGTATACAGTACATAATTACACTTTTATTGCACTTAAATAAAGTCCATTGCAATGTTATTACAATAGCCCCAAACTTGTGTTTCATTTTCTACCCTCCCTATTATCCGGCATTCCAGCTTATCCGCCCTTCCGTCGGCCCGTTTATGGCGGATAACCGAGACTCTACTGTATATATATTACATCAGACCATCTGCTGACATGAGAACATTGATAGAGAAGGCAAATGAATACCAACTACCCGTATTTCTTGCCTTCGTCGACTATGAAAAGGCGTTTGATAGTAATAAGATGTGGCCATAGAACAAGCTATTAATAATTGTAGAAAAGATTCGAGGTATAGGCAACTAATACATAATATATATGAAAATGCAACTATGATAATACAGCTAGACGAAAATACAAATCCCATCCCCATTAAGAGAGGAGTGAGACACGGAGACGTAATATCGCCAAAGTTTTTCAACCTAGCTCTAGAAGACGTCTTCAAAACTACAAATTGG